CATAAGTGCGTGTATCCCCTCGCCACATTCGCCAATCTTAAACGTCTTTGAAACAGCAACAACAGAGTTTACTTCTGACGTGTGTATCGGATTAGAGTTCAAATACTTCTAATCTGCCCTAGTTATTCGCGGCTTACATACATACATGCGTAGTTTACTCTACATATAACAAATCTACAACACTGAAACACTACAATACTCAAACAAAATAGCACATACTTTCTCGTACAAGTCGGTTCCATTTTCTTTTGAGTTCGGATTATCTTTTCGGATATGTCCGAACCTCTTCTCGACTTCCATCTACTGCCATCTGAGGGACCTCGTATCACGGCCTCCAGCGGCAGCTAACACTTCCCAGTTCTCACAAAGGAATGTGTACGGGGCGCTTCGAGGCCTGGCGTTCCGCTGCAACGAGCAACGGCGGTGAGACATGACCCAGCGAACGCCGACGGCCGATTTTCGCACGGGGGGGGGGGGGAGCGGCACTGAAAACTGGCTAACGTGCTGCCGGAAGAGGAACCGGCCGGAAGTCGTTGTGGCGAGGGCGGGAAGCGGCGTTATACTCGGCCTCGGACAGCACGATTGCCAGCATGTCCCATCCCACCACTTAGGATAGCTCAGAGACAACTCCCGTTGCTGCTGTAGCGTCGCTAACCGGAAAAGCTTAGGGTTCGAGTCCGACTGCGGTGAATTTACGATATTAGTACATAGCTGAGTATAATTCATCTGCTGTCTGGATGAGAATGCAAGTGGCCGGCTGCTCTGATCAGTAGTTTATTCGAGCAATACAAGGCGTATGTTGGAGCAGTAACAAAACAAAAGGACCACTGACTGCGGGCGATCTTCCCTTCCTCATCCTTGTCTCCGCCTCTCCCCTCAGACGCATATACTTGCATGCACTACACTTCCACACATACATACACTACACCTCCACACATATCGGGATACTGGTCTGGCGCTTCGAGTTTGTCCCGACTGAAGTGGTGCCCTGCTGAAGGAGATCCCTTGTCGGGGAAAACTGGAGGGGCATCTCAAGTTCCTCCAAGAGGCAAAGGACCCCCCACCTTCCGGGATACGTCATTCACAACACTTTTTGCGTTATTGAGCCTAGTAGTTGGCGCCCCAGGAAACACTAAATGCTCCCTCAAACGAATAAAGGCACCACCAGGAATTCGCACGACCTTAAATTCTGGTGAGATATGAGAAGACTCCTCCGGTGCGTCATGGAGGGGTGGGATCAGAAGCCTCCAAGACAGGAAGGCAAGAGACATTGTCGTCTTAGTACCAGGGCCACGAAGGGTCTGTCCCTTCTACGATGGCTACACTCAGCTACTCTTACATGCCCTCGGCTGACTACACTCTGCCCTTACACTCCACGCATGCCCATCCCATTATTCAAATATCAGATAAATATAATATAACCTCTGATGGGAACCATATAGGATATTGAGCTAGTAAGAACATATGAACGTTTTCATGCCGCCATGTTAATAAATAGAATTCTAATTTGATTTAGTTCTAACCCGTTTGTCTCCGTTGTATCGTTTTTGGAGGGAACATTCACTGAACTCAAGAACAGTGAATGCAAGGCTTATTATGTTCTTGATGAGGCTGGCGTGGACAATAACTAAGTTAAACTTCTCTGAGTTTTCATTTATTGCAAAAAAGTATTGTGTGAAGCTCGATGTATTGGGTAAAACACTCGTATAAAGTTTACCACACTCTCTCGTTACTTGTTTCGTAATATATGTACTTCATTCTCCCGAAACATTACTTAATGGTTTCAGATGATTCAATAAAAGATGAGCGCTTAGAGATCCTTAGCTTCCTAAAATCCTCTTATTCCTTATCGTTCCCCACAAGAAGGAAGCCCCTTCCTACCGCGTGAACGAGAACAATTCTTTGACGGCACTATTAACCCTAGGGCTCAAGAAAATTTCAGCAGACACTGAAAATTAATTTAAGTCCAGAAGTAAAACAAGAGACCTTTCCAGCATTTGCTCAAAGGATCCAGGGACAACTGACGCGAAAACTCCGACCGAGATGGGGTTCATTTTTAGTCATAGATGAGTTTTGGGCATGTAAAATGGCATACTACTACATACGATTTAGTACATTTTGATAATATATAATTTTGATAAATTATATAAATACAAAGTATATCTTTATAAGTAACCGAAGAAACAAAGACAACAATGAATATTTGAATAATTTTCTTCTGCTTTTTCTTCATTTCCATCATCCTCTCTTTCTTCTTCTTCTCCCCCTTTTCACCTTATTTTTCTTCATGGGTAAAATAAGTCATTATGCGCTCGTTAGTGGTGTCTTCACTCGATCTCGTTAAGCACTCCTGAATAATCAACTATCTCTCACACAATGGCCTAGTTTAACTATTTGTAAAATAAATCACTATTATTTACAGTCAGAGATGAAGGTAGAAGTTCATTTATAGTCAAATGCGCTGTTCTTGAATCACTTATGCAATTAAGATATTGGATCGCAATGTATCGTTGTCATGATACTCCTGGTGAAAGAAACCCTTTCCACGTTTATTCTGTGGGATTGTGCGTCAACTAAGGCTTCAAAAGTAGGAAGTTTCTAGAAATGACAGAATGACATGAATTTTAGAAGTAGATTTGGGAAATGATATTGCGGCGATAAGAATCTTTTCTGTAGATTCTGATTTTTGTCGGTCTAATCTTAAGTTATTAATGGAAAGTGGTAGCTACAGAAAGAAAGATTTAACTGACAACACTTGAATTTTTGTTTTCAAGAGATTGTCTCATAGGCATAGATTGAAACCTTTGATACAATCTTTTCATGCTTCAGAAAAATATGACATAAAAATAATGTCTCTAAAACTTAGAATAAACGTATATTTAATAGTTTATACATTTATGTATATGTCACATGTAAGTTGCATGAGCCATCATACTTGCGAGAAAGTAAATTAGTAAAATTACGCAGTGTATTCTGGGTTCGAACGTTGTCACAATCAATAAAATCCATTTTCATTTCCTTGAAAGTTCTCTCTTCTCTCTTTGCTAGTGCCACATTGAATGAAGGAGATATTTAATTGATAATTTAAATGTGACAGTCAATTTGGGTGTAAGATATATTATAACAAATTAAAATTGAATAAACTATGTAAAATTGTATATTTTAGATTACTTTTATGGATCTTTGTGTGTGTGTGTATGTGTGTGTATGTGTATGTTTTCATTTGCTGTGTATCTTTGAAATGTCGAAAAGAACATTTTGAAAAGAATTCGGTGAAGGTGAAAATATTTTTAAGAATAAGAGTTACATTAATACAACAAGGACACGTGTGTAAAATTAAACGCACAGAGAAACGCTTTCGAGATACAACTGAACCTTTTGATGCAAGAGTTTTACGTCAAATTATAACAAACGGAGCCCGTCTGTGAGATACAGATAACTTTTTTGGTATTTCTTTGCAGGGTTAACAGATAAAAAGAGCCAATAGTACTTGTAATTACAATAAACCCATTTCCAATGTCAACTTTAGCGCCTTTCATGTAATACAAATGGATGGTATTCACCAAGCTGGTCCGTAAATATGCTCCGTAGGGCAACGAAGACATTGGATGACGAAGGTGTAGTTGGAAGGACACGTCCTGATAAGAAAAAAGCCGCGAGCCCACCCTGAACCCAAAAGAAGAGAAGCACATGCGGAGGAGAGGAAGTTGAAAAAGTAGGAGGGGACGAAGCAGGAGGAGAGGTAGAAAGAATACGGGGAGACTAAGAATTATGAGGAAAAGGAGAATGGAAGAAATACAAAAATAAGAAGAGAAGGAGAAATGTGAAGAAGAAAATGGGAAATAGAAGATAAACTAGTGGTGCTATAACACACAATTTCTTTCACTATTTGTGACGTTTGAAATTTTCAAAAATTCATAGAGTTCAATGAAAATGAGATGTTTCATTTTTAAGCGGAGAAAGTGGAAAAGAATGAGGAAAACGAGAAAGAGAAGTAGAAGGCGAAGCAGAGTAAAAGACGCGAATATTATTGTAAAGACACATACTACATATTGAGAAGAAACTATAATAAGTCCACTCCCTCAGTCACACGGCTATCCAAGAAATAAAAAAAAAAATAGGATGACTAGCAAACATGGAGAGGAATGTGGAAATGAGAAAGAAGTACAAGGCGAATCAGGAAGAGTAAAAGACACGAATATTATTTTATGGCACTTTCATGTTGAGAAGAAACGAACATGAATCGACTCCCCCAGTCACACGGAAATCCAAGAAATAAAAAACAACAACTAGGTGACAAGAAAAAATGGAGGGAAATGAGAAAAACGAGAAAGATAAGTACAAGACGAAGCAGGAAGGATAAAATACGCGGATATTATTGTAAAGGCACATACTACATATTGAGAAGAAACTATAATAAGTCCACTCCCTCAGTCACACGGCTATCCAAGAAATAAAAAAAACATAGGATGACAAGCAAACATGGAGAGGAATGTGGAAAACGAGAAAGAGAAGTACAAGGCGAAACAGGAAGGGTAAAAGACGCGAATGGCACATACATATTGAGAAGAAACTATAGTAAGTCCACTCCCTCATTCACACGGCTATCCAAGAAATACAAAAAAAAACTAAGATGACAAGCAAAAATGGAAGGGAATGATAAAAACGAGAAAGAGAAGTACAAGGCGAAGCAGGAAGGGTGAAAGACGCGCATAATATTGTAAAGGCACATACTACATATTGGGAAGAAACGAACGTGACTCCGCTCCCTCGGCGTCACAACCGGCTCCGTCTCGCCACGCAGCGCCGTGCGCTTTCCGTCGTAGTAACCCTCCTCCACCTGCCGCGCCCCGCGCAAACGGTGCGGTGCGAGGCCCACGGGGGCGGTCACGCTGGCTGGCTTCGATCGGGCGGCAGAGGACGCGCGGAGAACGCGCTGAGGACGCGTTGGAGGTCAGCGCGAAGGAGGTCAGTCGCCTCATCCGCGCGCGAACGCCACGCCGCGCAGCGGCGCGCCGCGCCGCGGCCAGTGCCAGCCAAGCACGCAGTCGAGTCAGTCAGTCAGTCGGCCGGCCGCCCTGCCACGCTCCGGGATCCCACGCCGGACCGCCTGGTTCGCTAGCGCGCAGCTCGCCTTCAGGTGGAATCACTGTGAGTTAACGCTGTGAGTGGTTTTTCGGCGTTTGGCGTTAAATAACCAATTTTGTAATATTTGTTCGTGTGACTTCGTTTATTTTTCGTATGGCGTACTTTATTCGTCCTTCGGAGTATTTCGTGGAGAAACTATTAAGTTTTTTAAGGGGAGGTGTTAAGATTCGTGCGACCTGTGAGAGGCCTTTTTGACGTTTGACGTCAAATTACGGGTTTTGTTATATCGCGTGACATTGTTTATTTACGAATGGTGTACTTTATTTTTCATTTGGTGTATTTCGCGATGACGTTTGATTTCTTTTTTTTTTCGTACAGTACGTACGATTCTATTACTATAGTGGGTAGTGTATACTAAAGGTGTACGTGTTCCCTCCTGTGAGTAGTGTGTAGAAAAAAAGAGATGTCTCCGTATGCTACCGTGCCTCGGTCGAATGTTCCCCAAGCATTTTTTCTTATTTTTTGTACGGCATGAAAAGGCATATTTTGAAATATCGTGTGACACATTTTATTATATTTTGTTTAGCGCATTTCGGTTTATCAAAAGTCATTCTTTTTAATATTTTTCAAATGGCGTGAAATGTGTATCAACACATCGTGTGGCATATTTTGATTCGTGTTCCGTTAAATGGTTTATACAAAAAGAGATGTTTTCTAATAAACGCATGATTATATATAATCTCCATTCATCTGGGTTTAAAACAGTCACATTATCCTATGTATTAGCTGAAGAAATTTAATGTGATTTTCGTTAGCGTGGAAAATAATAGTTGGTCTTTTCGTATTATCATAGGGGTTGATGGGGCATGAAGTGAAATAGTGTATTTTATGATATTCAGTAGAACATTTCTTCATTTTCCATGTGTCTTCAAATCCTCAAACGCGGAAAGACAGCACGATTGTGGCAGGTTTCCATCTACAACTTCAACTCAACTCACCCGTCAGGCCGGGGCTCTCAGGAAAGGAGTGGACGTTGAGATGTATTGATGATGTGTATAGCCAACATTTCTATGCAGCCTCCCAAAGTATGCTGTAAACTTTCAGATGTAAAGATTATGTAGAAGGATGTAGAGAATAAGGAGAGCGATGTTGGATAGATGGAACTCGCTATCAGACAAGTGTTCTTCGTATGGGAACGCCTTGAGTGTGGAGTGGTTTAAGAGAAGGTGTTATCACAAAGTCTTGAAATGGCGTATTTCGTAGTTATCGTGAAATGTGAGGAGACAACACAAGCGTTCCAGTTCTTAAGCCAGAAACGCAACGTGGCCATCTAGACAGGTGTCCACGAAAAAGTGGTGACGTTTGCATGTAATGATAAGTAGGACAGTAAATAAAAGGAACGGAACAGTAGAATGAGAGACGGGAAGAACGAGACAAACCTGAAACAAGCTCCTGCGAACCCGCTTTGTCACTCGAGTCGAGAGGAAGTAGCAGGCTGCCACGGCCATTTATTTCTTACTAGTCGTAAGAGCCTGCCCTTCGCGTTTTGATACCAGTGCAGCATGGTCAGAGCGTACAAACTTTAAACATAATTTTAAAAATAATCACACTTTAATTATATTTCTGATTAGTCTCGACTATACTAAAAATATTGTACTAAATTCTGGATGAACTTTGTGCTCAAATACATGGTCAAGCATCTATTCATATATCTAATTTTAACACAACAAACAAATGTCGACACCTTCAGATGTATTAGCAGAAGACAGTCATATGGTTTCGACAATGTGGAAAATAATTTAAAATTGGGACAGTATTCGACGTTGCGTGGAATCTGCTAACGGTGCTGTGAAGAAGTATTGCTGTGACGTGATCCAAAACGTTCTTTTGTGTTGAAAACGTTACGGTGATTTAATCATCTTAATCCTAATGAATTTTACCGCATGATAGAGAATTATTCATAGGAATTTAATCAAACGGATTTGATAACCTTGTTTAAAATTGTTAACGTAAACATCCATTTATTGAATGGGTACATTTTCTAACAAATAAAAGCAAACTGAAGTCATTTTCCAATGTTCTTTATATTTAATTGAGATTGCAAAGTTCGATTAACTGAAAAATTAATGGATCTGAATACGGCAAGTAATCTGCTAACGACTGGGGCAAATGTGCTGCCGTAAATTCTCTTGAACCCTTGGATCTAAAAAGTTATTTTCTTCTTTATTTTTGTTGAAGAATCTTTACCACCGCCCGCAAATACGCACTCTTTTATTTTAAGAATTGCCTTTCCAACGTTCGAAGTAAATGTTTGCATGCTATTCTTAATTCCCAACATTTACTAGAAAAGTTATTGGTCCCTTACAGATTCCTCGCATTATAACTGAAAATGAACAACCTTTTTGACATATTTCCGTTGATTGATTAATAAATTTACAGTATATTAGCTTGTTAGGAATAAAGCAATTTACTTCGGAAACAAATGCATCTTCTTTTAAAAGAGAGACAGAGAGAGAGAGTGAGACAAACCGAGAGAAATTCGTTATTGAGTCTCAGCTTTCTAGCTACTTTTTTCTGTTGTATTTTCGTGATTGAAACGCACGTTTATGATTTATGTAAAACGGAGATATTCACCGTTTTTCCTGTTATAATTTGACCTACTTGAGTTTCACTTTAACTGTCCGGCGAGATCATAATAAAAGAACACGCAGCAGAAGATGACACGAGGAATCTGGGTTTATTAAGCACAATTCACCAGTAAAAAGACACGGTGATAATTTTTCGTTCTGCGCCCTACTTCGCTGGATATCGATTCAGAAAGGGTGTTTCTATCGACGACAGCAGTCAAGGTTTCAATTGATTTGGGCCTTAGATGCTGCCTTGCATTATTGATGGATGCATGTTGTACTCTACTTTCCGGTACCTTGTCTATGATTTACAGAAAATGTTTACATACCTTACGCTGGTGATAAAAGCATATAAAATTTTAAAAAATAATAAAAGAAAAAATTAATTCAGACTCGTAGCTATTGTTTCTTTTTTTAACTCAAGAATATTATTTTATATTCAAATATATCCGTTTCCAGAGCACTTCGTAGAATAGCATGATCAGCTGTGACGTTGAAAGACAAAACTGAATACTGGTCGTTATTTTCAAACTTTTTTTGCAGTAATTGCTTGCCTATTTGAGGAGTATGCGAGAATTTACAAACTTTAAGATGCGCATTTTGTTTCCTTTCCGTTATCATTAGTTCGTCGCATTTAATCATTGCTTCAGACATATTACAAGTCGGTACGTATTACTGAATTAACGTCACGATGTTGAAAACCAAACTTCTCTTTAAAGCACATATTAAATGTTGACATTGCTGTTAACACTTTCGTTCTCCACACAAGAGGTGAGACTTCGCGCTTAACGTGATTTAGTTTCGCCTCCAAAACAAGTACACCACAAAGTCAAACAAAACAGTGGGGGCCCCAAGGGTAGAGGGAGCCTCAAAGGGGCTTCAGCTGTCCTCCCTCCAGAGACCAAAAATGCATGTTTTTAAAATACTTATTCTTCCTGTTCAAAAAGATGTTTCAAATTAAAATTTTAATTGTAATAAATATTTTTTTTAAATGTATAATTGGCTTCTGGGGAGAAGAGATCTGATGCCTCATGATACATATTAAATAATACAAAACGCTAATGAAATTCATTCAAAATATCAATTGTTTACGTTGTAAAACAAAAAAAATACATTTTAAAATTAGCATAAATGGAAAAAGTCTTAATAAGTACAAAACAATTCGACTGCAGCCACAAATGCCAGCTGCGCTTCTGCACATGAACATTATTTTCAGTTATCATAGAAGGGTTCAGGGTTAAACTCAAGTTCAAACCCACCTTAATTCACTTCTAATTAATTTCACATGTGTTTGCTTTAATCCACATTAATTCTTTTAATCAATTTTCTGCTGCCAGCGCTTCAGCGCGTTACGCTCCATTCAAGTCACCTTGGAGGTACTATGAACTACTTCCAATAATTTAATAATAAAACTGCCTTTAATAATGCCAATTCTCCGGTTCCGAAGGGCACTTATTCCACCTAAACACTTCAAAGATTTGCATTATTTTAAATAGTATAATAAAGTAGGGGGAACAGAATGTTATAATCACTAATGAGCTATGGATCATACCGGCGAAAATCTTGAAGCGATTAACTAATTCCAGAAGAAAAACAATATGGTGACTGAAGACCGAGAATATCCACAAAAATAGAAATGAAAAATAAACATCAGGGCGAAAACAATAATAATAATAATAATAATAATAATAATAATAATAATAATAATAATAATAACAGAAAAATACAAAACATGAACATACAATCAATAAAAAAGTTGACATTAGTTATATAAGATCAAGTAGAATTAATGTTAATAATAGTACTGACAATTACAAGAACAAAGTAAATAACAATAATTTTAATTTTGAAAATAGTAATATCCAGATTATTGTTATTAAATAACATGCTAATTACTAACTGCATGTACTTCTTCAGTACCCGAAAAAACGAGAATAAATGTATTTAACTAATCGTCCTACTCTCTCCCTTCTTGCTAGCAACCTGTAGCTTTAGAGAATTACGCTGAAATTAAGAATAAAAAGGGACACAGTTATGATGCATTATGTCAATTCTGTCTTAGGTTGTCAGCTTGACTAAGCGCCAAGCAATCTTTTATCAGCAAGAACGGAAATTAATAGACGAGGCGACTGTCCAACCATTTGAAATTACTGAAATGCCTTGCATAATTTTTCATTGTAACTTTATTACGTTCATATCAATAGAGAGATATAATAAAATTTACATTAATATAAAAGTGTACGATGGTGTGTCTCTGTAATAATCATTGATTCACAGACTACACTGAAACGTATTGCAATTTACGTTAAGCAATACGTTAAAAGTCATCATGTTTAGTTTTCTGTAATGGTACATAAAAATATACGTAAAATAAACGATCATTCAAGGAAAATAAAGTAAGTTGCATAGACATTTTGTTCAAAATGATCTGAAAGG